GAATAAGTACGTGAGCACATTATATGTTAGAGTGTCAAAATAACTGGCCCTTGGGGCCGGCAAGGACTTACGTTCTGGGAATTGAAGGACAATTATTGCAGTTCTTGCCTCAGACATCAGCTTGCATACACCCGTGGCCAGCCTCGGACAGCGTGAGTGCTGCCTGGTCTCTGCTGGCGGTCGTCATACTCCTCATGTTCACGCCGCCGTCTCTGCTGTGCCCAGTTGTGTAGATCCTGGCCCATCTGTGTCTGCTCATACTCTGCATGGCAGACCAGAAAGAGATGACTGTGACCCCAGTGAGGCCTCCCAGCCCTACCATGACCCAGTTCCTGATGAGTGTTTGCAGGATTGACGAGGGATGCGGGGATGCCCCCTGGCATGGCAGGACGCATTTCACGCCTGGCACACTCACTCAAGGAGATCCTTTCTGGTGGCCATAGGATCTGGCTCACCTCCCACCCATCTGCCCTGCAAGATGCCCTCTGAAACTTGACAGCCAGTCCCATTCCCAGAAAGAAGTGGTGACCTTGCCACGAGGTCATCTGCCCCTTTCCATCCCCTCACATCTGCCAGTGCTCTTTACCACTCCCAGAACTCCTGCCTGCTGGAGACTGCCCTGTACCCTTCATCCTCAGGACCCACCTCACCGGTCAAGGGAAAATTGCTCCAGAAGGCTTCGCCTCCCCTGCTTCCTCACCACAGGGCACAGCAGAACTCGGTACCTATGTCCTCTGCTTCAGGTTTCCATTGCAACCGATTTTTGCATCTGCAGCTTGCACAGCCTTCAGCACCATAGTTCATGCCCCTTTCCACTTGCCAAAAAGGAATTGGTGAGGATGGGCTGCAGAGGTCTTGTCAAGTTGTGCGAGGCTCCATCAGAAGTCCTGACGTACCTGCCTTCTTCCAGGGACCTCACCTTGGACTATGACCATGGCCATCCTCTCCATCCAGGTGGAGGAGTAGAGCCTGTCTCTGAGCAGAGCAGACCTGGGCACTGAGCACTGAGTTCAGGCCAGCGGTCAGGGCCTGCTGTGCAGTGTCTTCTAAGGCAGAAAAGTCACTTTCTATAAATGAAGCCAAGATACACAGGCAACAGAAATTCCAGGAGAAAATGTTAACATAGGCCAGGCACGGTGGCTCACACCTATTGGGAGGCCAAGGCGGGTGGATCACGAGGTCAAGAGATCGAGACCATCCTGGTCAACATGGTGAAACCCCGTCTGTACTAAAAAATACAAAAATTAGCTGGGCGTGGTGGCGCGCACCTGTAGTCCCAGCTACTCGGGAGGCTGAGACAGGAGAATTGCTTGAACCCAGGAGGCGGAGGTTGCGGTGAGCTAAGATCGTGCCATTGCACTCCGGCCTGGGTAACGAGAGCGAAACTCCGTCTCAAAAAAAAAAAAAAAAAAAAAAAAAAAAGGCAGGTGTTCCTGTTTTCATCAAATAAAGATCCATCATGGATGAACTGCTCACCAAGAAAAGTGGCAGAAACACGCTGGGCTTCCTTAGGATTTGGTTAGCTCCTTGGTATCAAGCCTAGTTTAGGAGTAAAGTCTTACTGACCTTTAAACCAACCAACTCTAACCACACAGTTGATATTTCCTTTATTTTATTGTTACTGAGTTACTCAGAAAATTACGGGGTTATTCTCCATCTTATGATTCTTTGTATTAATGATCGTTATTAGTGATAATAACCATTTACGTGATGCTTCGTTGTTTATGAGGCTCTAACTTGTATGGCCTCATTTCCCTGCAGCGAATTCCTTGGAGAAACAAATACTTAGCATCCTCATTTGCTCAGGGAATCCATCCTTTTTAGTCATATATTGACAACTTGTCTAGTAACCTACCAGAAAATTCCCATGGAGAAACAGTGGAATTTTCTAGAATTCGGAATCGGATAACAGCTAGATTGTTTTTGGTTTTTGATGTTTATTTCGTGCCTCTTGAATGCACTGAGAAGAATATTTTCCCTAAAAATATGAAAATGGTGTGCTACAAATACACTAGCAAAGATAAGCTCTATCCAGGGAGGGAGTCTGTGTACACGTGTCAAAGGAGAAGATACAGATTGGGCTTCTCAAGCCGTAACCTTGGGACTGGCTAGAATGCAGATTTTGACTCAATAGGTTGCAAGTAAGACATGAGGTTTATGCATTTCTGACAAGCTGCAGATGAAGACCTGGAAATCTGGTTGGTAGATAGAAGCTATTGAATTGGGATGCCTCTTTCCCGGCGTCTGCACCTTGAGTCAGGTGGCTGTGACCCTGAGGGGGTTCCGAGGCATTGCTGCCTGGAGAAGTCAGCCTAGAGGCAGGTTTGCTGATCCTTAGTCATCAGCTAATCAAGGGGACAGGTTAAAGGTGTTTGTTACTAGCAGGGACTATGTTGGAATGCGGGTCACAGAGAAGCTTCTCCAACCGTGCCTACACCTCTGCACTTAGCAGGGTAGGGAGTGGAGACTCTGGCACCCATAAATAGATGTTAGGGTAAGTAATGTGTGCTTTAATAAGAATTGGAGATTGTGCTTTTGAAGTTCTGGCTGGAGAATAAGGTTTGCTACCTTGTAGAGTGATTGTTAAGTTGTATTATCACTGTCTTTACAAACAGTGATATTGTGTGTGTGTGTGTGTGTGTGTGTGTGTGTGTGTGTGTATTTTCACCACCTAGATTGTCAAAATATCCCTGTTTATTAGAAAAGAATCTGTCCATCCGGTTCTTCCTCGTTCTGGCCTGGGGTGAGCCCAGCGTGTGCTTCTGGGGGATCTGGGGGGAGAACCCGTGTTGCGGTGGGCAGCTGAGTCTGGTGAGTACCTGAGGTGGGGAGAGTTGAGCAGGACACAGAGTGTGTGCTTTGGAGTAGGTGTGGCCAGAATCAAGGGACACACAGACTCTCCTGTGTCTGAGGTGAGGGAGGCTTCTGACAAAGCCAGAGCAGTTGGAAGTCTGTAACCAAAACAAGGCGCCTGGTCAGCAGAGCAGGGGACACCAAGGGAAGGCCAGGATGGTGGCCCACAGGGGCCCGAGGCCTTACCTTAGCAGTCCAGGGCTTCATCTGCAAGGATGTGGGCCAGCACAGCTGCTGGGAAAGGGCGATCACAAATGTTTTCACCTTTGCAGGCCGCACGGTCTCTATTGCAAGTACTCCACTGCGAAAAGCAGCTGTACGTAGATGGTGTGGCTGTGTGCCGGTACGACGATCTATGAACACTGAAGTTCATATAACTTTTTATGTGTCCCCAAATATCATGCTTTTGATTTTTCTTCAACCACTCACAAATGTGAAAACTATCCTTAGCACAAAGACAGATGGCAGGCTGGATTTTACCTGAGGCCCAAGTGGGCCCACCTCTGGTCTACAGGCTGTGTTGATCTAATAGGATCAGTGTACAGAATCTTTCACTGTCAAATTTTTGAAATTGTCATAAGATGGCTTGGCACAGAGTCTAGCACATAAATTATATACCGCAATGGGGAGAATAGAAAGGCTGGGATTATTCTGCATTAGGGACATAAAACCCACTTGAGGCTACTCTCTCTAAAGTTTTCTCTTTAGAGAAAAGCGTGTGCTGAGTAGGTTTCCATAGCTCTCTAGCATACAAGCGCATGCTAAAATAAATGGATTTCAGATAGAGATAAGACTCTTCGACTGCACAGCATAGAGGGTAGCATTTCTCTGGGACCCTCACAGCAGCCTTTCTGAGCAGTTGGGACAGACATTAGCCCTGTTTTACAGAGGAAGAAGCTCCTGCCTGCAAAACTGCTGTCAGTGACCCCAGGCAACGGTTCTGTGAAGAAGGGGCTGGGAATCATGTCCAGATCTTCCCATCTGGCTAGTGTGTTTGTTTTTACTTTCCCATACAGTCCTTTGGAAGAACTGTGTCCTAAAATGTCATTTGCAAGCCATTTACTAGAACATGAAACTTTTCTCTCTAGAGAAAGAAAAATGTGGTGAACAGATTCCCAGGTTGCCCCAGATGGGATGACCCTTTCACCTGTGACGCAGCAGAACTGTAGTCCTGGTGCTCGGGTGTGAGTTCTAAGGCCCCAGGGGCTACGAGAAGTAGAAAGCAGTAGGTACAAAAGCAAATTTCTTTGCCTGAGAGTGGTCCCAGATGGAGGTCCCAAGAGGCGGGCGATGTCCGGGCTGTCTTCTGTCCTGTGGGCATCCTGCCTCCTCGTGTCTGTCCATCTGGCGCCCTCGCCTGCCCTGTCCCTCTGTGACACTCAGCTGAGGGAGCGTCTGGTGCAGAGGGGCCCGCTGGGTGTCAGGGCTGGAGAGCGCCCGGTGAGGACAAAGGCACCACCAACACCAGCTCCTGCCCCAGACTCGGCCACGTGCTTGTTTCATGCCTCCAACATTCATGAACTTCCTGGCTTGAAACGTGGGTCTCTCCTGTCCTTTGGGAGATGGGCGGGAAGGAGACCCACCCTGCAATACCGAGTCACTGGGACCCCCCCCGCCCGAGGGGCTCCCCGGGGCCACCCCTGCGAGATGCTGGAGGGGCTTCTCTTGGACCAAAGCTTTCAACAGCCTTCCCGTGGGGGACTCTGCGTGGCTGGGTCACCTCCTGGCCGGTGCCTGATCTTCAGAAAGTAATTGTGACTGGGAATCGGGTGGATGAGTGGACGCTGTTAACCCAGACCCTCTTTCCAGGTCTCTGCTCCTTGAGTCGGGCTGCCGCGGTGGCTCTGGCCGCAGCTCCCCAGTGGCCGACTGTGGTCCTCTGTCCTTTTAGCCTGCCAGCCTTCATGCCGAGCGCTGCGTTGGCCTTGCTCCTGGCTGCAGCCTTGGCTTGCCCTTCCCCTGCCGCGGGGCCCCGTGCTGAAGAAAGACCCCTTCCAAGGTTTGGCTGAGGCAGAGGGGGGGCTTTTCCGGCCACCTGGACGCAGGCCCGCTCTAGAAGGAAACGCCCAGGGCCTGTGGCGGGACGAGGGCGCTGATCTGTCTGGGGCCCGGAGTCTCTAGGCTCCAGAATGCCTTTGTCTTTCCAGGTTGGACTGGAGTACCCTGGTCCCTCTGTGGCTCCGCCATCGGCACTTGGGGCTGCAGGCCAAGGGCTGGAACTTCATGCTGGAGGACTCCACCTTCTGGATCTTCGGGGGCTCCATCCACTATTTCCGTGTGCCCAAGGAGTACTGGAGGGACCGCTTGCTGAAGATGAAGGCCTGTGGCTTGAACACCCTCACCACGTAGGCGTTGCCTCCTTTCCCCACGGGGCTTGCTTCCCAAGTAGGGCTCCTGGTGTCCGCCTGCGAAAAAATGTAAGGGGAACCAGCCCAGGTCCTCTGCCGAGAGCAGAGAGCAGGGGTCTCCCTCCTCCTCTCCCCACAGAGCTCCTGACTCATGGGCGTGGAGGCACGTGAATGGATGTAAGGTCTAGAGGAACCGAGGTGGCAATGTCGCACGAGAGTATAGTGAAGGAGCTGAGTGCAGGTGGAGGAGGTGATTCGTTGGCAGCGAACCTTTTTGTTTAACAAGGAGTCTCCCCACTTCCAGTTTATACAGCCAGTGAATGGGGTCTTCTTCAGAAGAGTTGCCTGAGAGGCCGTGCCCCCAGTTTTTAGCACTGCTCAAGGGCGGTGGTCTTAGAATGCTGTGCTTGTCATCCCGGCTTCTGTTGTGGGATGACACAGGGTAGGCACGCAATAAAATGTGGACTTTGCAAATCATTTAAAAAATGTGCTTGGTTGTGAATAACCTGGATCTTCTCATGGAGTTTCCCCCCAAATTGCCAACAGATACTTGGCCCTAAATCTGTGAAATAAAGGGGGTGATGAAGCTGGATCATTCCATTTTCAGGCAAAAATATGTGATTACAAATCAAAGAGTAGCTTTTCTTGGGTGATATATGAACCGATTTTGAAGACAGTTCCTTAAAGAGTTAGAGACGTGCTGAGCCTTGACGACTTCCCGGAAAGGACTCCTGCAGGGTGTGGGAACGCTGCGGGCTCAGCGCTCTGCCCCACAGGAGCAGCACCGCGGATATTTGCTGAAATGCAGACCTCGTGTGTCTGAGCTGGAAGCCAGACAGCCTCTCCTCCCTTCAGCTGGGAATATTCTCTATAGCGGGCAGAGGCTCCTCTAAAGCCAGTGATGGGGTGGGGTCGGGGGAAGAGCAGCTGTTGTCACTGTGTCGTCCGGGAGTTGTCCCCTCCGCCTCTCGAGCTGAGCCTGTCCATGAGCCTGCTCCGCCCCTTGTCTTGTCTAGAGTTGGAAGCTTCATTCTGTTGCACGTTTTGGAATTCTGGGTGCTTCAGTAAACGCAGGATGATCACTGAGCTTTCCTCTTGCTCCTTTTAGCTGTTTATCGGATAAAGTTACATCTTCCGTTCCAGTGGGGTGGGGGCATGGTAAGCTGACTGGGGTCAGAGCACCTGACCTTTTACTCAGCAGGTCTTACGCTTTGTCCAAATCCTGTTGATACGGAAGGAAGAGGGCTTGCCCTCGATTCTGGTCTCTAGATTGGTTCACTTAGTTCTTGGTTCTAGTCCTAAAATCATGAAGACATATATCTTCAGCCATCATATTTGATTTTTAGGATAAAGAAGGTAATGTGGGAGATGAATTGGAATGAGTGACACACGCTAGCTGATAATCATTATGTCTGTTGCAGCTATGTTCCGTGGAACCTGCATGAGCCGGAAAGAGGCAAATTTGACTTCTCTGGGAACCTGGACCTGGAGTATGTGGTGTTGCTGCTGCTGTGACCTGGCCAGGGGCAGGGGCAGAGAGGCGGTTACTGGGGGTGGATTAGCAAAGAGAACCAGGGAGGGACCAGGGTCTGGGTCCTGTTCTAGGACTGTGAGAGGCCCTGCACCCAGGACCCAGACACTCCCCATCCATGACCTGTCACCCCGCAGGGCTGGGCCTGCAGCATCTGGGCCTCACCTCTCCACTGCAACCCAGAAGGGCAGAAGACCCCAGAAGCCGCCTGACTCTGCATGGGGTCCAGCCGCCTGGGCTGGGACAGGGAGGCCCCTCTAGGCTGGCAAGGCTGCTGGGGTCAGGTTCACTGTGAAGATCCCTGTGCCCTGGCTGATGCCCTTCCTCCTCAGGCCCCTGATGGGGCTTTGCAGAGGCTCTGAGGCTGGGAGCAGCTGGGGCCTCGGACCTGGTGTGGGAGTCCCTGCTCTGTGGGGGTGGGGCCGAGCTGTCCCTTCACCCCACCGGGCAGCTCCTCCACCCTGTGATGCTTGCAGCCCCCACCTAGCCTCACCATTGGCTGTTGTGGGAAGGGCTGACGATGTGGACCCCCCTAGGGCCTTCATCCTGATGGCCTCGGAGATCGGGCTGTGGGTGATTCTGCGTCCAGGCCCCTACATCTGCAGTGAGATTGACCTCGGCGGCTTGCCCAGGTAAGCGGAATTGTGAAGGGTCCTGTGTGCTGTGCAGAAAGCTCACAGACACAGGTTTAGTTTCGTTTCTGTGTTCTAGTTCCCATTCTGTACTGAATCTCCTTTTCAGGAAGAACAGCACCCGGGGGCATCACTTTTCAGCGAGGCTGCAGTGGCTGGCCTCGAACAGCCCCTCGTGGGCTGCTGTGTGACAGGCGGCAGCAGGGCTGACCCTCCGGGCATTCCGTGCGTCGGGCTCTGCTGTGAAGCTGGGAGCCCTGGCAGGTCGTTCACCTGCTTGTCTACAGTATGGGGAAGATGAAACCTTCCCTGTCTGTTTCTTAGGAATGCTACCAAGCAGAGTTTGAAAAGTCCAAGTATTTTGCTAAAGCCCAACAGAAACAAATTCTTGTTATGGTTTTGTCTTCATATCTTGGCCCACGTGTATCATCTTCCCAGGCGTAGTCTTGGCTGAGGTTGGTAGTCTGTGGTTGGAGTAGAAATCAGGACAGGAATCAGCTGGGACCTCATTCATTCCTCATCCTCATCATTGTTGCCTTTAAGATTTTCTTGTTAACAGGCATACCGTTCTCAGCCTCCCACGGTACCAGGTGGTTAGACCTGGGCTGCCCCGGGGGAAGAGGCTGATCCTTATCCCCAAGCCCTCTCCCCTCCCCTGGGGAGCCCTGGCCTTGTTTTCCTCCTGGTTTCCAGCACGACCTGCCTTTCCCTTGTGGGCACAGCTTCTGTCTCCACTACCCAGGGTCACTTCTCAGGCACTGATCCATTCAGCTTGGCACGCTCGCCCTTGACGTGAACAAAGCCAGGGCAGCTTCCCCAGTCCCTGCGGATTAGAAAGCTGTGTGCCACCGTCAGCGATTTCCGCGGCTCAGCCAGGGCCGGGCACAGGAGGATGAAGGGTTTAACAGTCTTAACTTAGAAGCAGGGAGAGCTGTGGCACTTTGACTCTCCCCCCAACCCTGCCCATGTGGCATCTGCTTATTCGTGAGAGGGGCATGTGGGCACGCCCGCGGAGGGGCAGTCTGGGTGGGAGAGAGAAACCTGACCTGTCAGGTGGGGTTAGAATGTGGGGATGTCAGTCTAGATGAAACTACCCTCTCCTCACCCATTGTTTTACCAATAGAAATGGGATAATTTCCTAACCTGTTTAGGACTTCCAGACCAGGGCAAGGGGAGCCTCAGAGCCTTTTGTTAGAAAATATAAGTGTCTTCTCAGAACCTGAAGTGAGAAGAAGGGGCCCTGACCCCAGCTTTGGAACTAACCCATGCTGCTGTGTTCCTCTGGGGAGTTTGGGATCACAGCAGCTGGGTGGAGGGAGAATTCCGCCCTTGCTCACCGGCTGCTCTGCGCTGAGCTCTGCACAGCCCGTGAGACCGATGCCGGGGTGTTAGCCGCATTGGCAAGGACAGCGGCTGCACCCTGCTCAGCCCCTCGCCGTGCCCGTCAGGCTTGTTTTTCGGGGTGATGCTGGAAAGCTGTGTCTCCATTCTTCCATCGCCGCAGTGATTCTGAACCTTTTTGGCTTTACCCTTTGTAATGGGATCTTAGAGCAAGTTCTTAAAAACTGGGCCTGGAGTCCCGTGAAAAGATTTTGTCACTGCTGGCAGCCAGGCCCTGCAGCTGTGGAGCTAGAATTGAACTTCCACCACTGTGTGTCCTCGGGAAGGGAAGCTGTAGGTGGGCAAGTGGGTGCTCGCCCCAGAATCGGTTTGCACAGTCTCCCCACTTCCGGGCTGAGTGGGGTGGAGGAGGGCACAGGCCATTCCAGAGCACTGTGGGGCCTCTCCCTTCTCCCGGCACCAGCAGCCTGCTCACAGCAAACCCACTGGGACACTAACATCCTCCCTTCCCTCCCTCTTTACTTCAAGCTGGCTACTCCAAGACCCTGGCATGAGGCTGAGGACAACGTACAAGGGCTTCACTGAAGCAGTGGACCTTTATTTTGATCACCTGATGTCCAGGGTGGTGCCACTCCAGGTACAAGCAAATGGAATCTTCTCTGATCTTCGCCTGTCTTCCTCTAGGTGGTGGATCATCCTTGGTTAGTTCTCAGACCGAGGGGCTTCCAGTGTTCTTGAACACAGGAACATGCTCTTTCCCACTGCCTGAGACTGATAACCGAGGGGCTTGCAATAGTTGTCTTTTGAAAGATCTCTGCATTTCAGTGTCGTCTCACTCAGGTGTGTTACTGAAAGGAAAGACAGATGTAAGCGCTCACATTGTCACATACGGCACTGGAGAGACAGGGATGCCATGATAGCCGGGAACACCCATCCACTGGCATCTCCATGGTGTCAGAGAGATAGAGATGCAGTGACAGCCGGGAACACCCATCCACTGGCGTTTCCACGGTGTCAGAGAGATAGAGATGCAGTGACAGCTGGGAACACCCATCCACTGGCATCTCCATGGTGTCAGAGAGATAGAGATGCAGTGACATCCCGGAACACCCATCCACTGGCATCTCCATGGTGTCAGAGATAGGGATGCAGTGACAGCTGGGAACACCCATCCACTGACGTCTCCATGGTGTCAGAGAGATAGAGATGCAGTGACAGCTGGGAACACCCATCCACTGGCGTCTCCATGGTGTCAGAGAGATAGAGATGCAGTGACAGCCGGGAACACCCATCCACTGGCGTCTCCATGGTGTCAGAGATAGGGATGCAGTGACAGCCGGGAACACTCATCCACTGGCATCTCCATGGTGTCAGAGAGATAGAGATGCAGTGACAGCCGGGAACACCCAGCCACTGGCATCTCCATGGTGTCAGAGAGATAGAGATGCAGTGACAGCCGGGAACACCCATCCACTGGCGTCTCCACGGTGCCAGAGAGACAGGGATGCAGTGACAGCTGGGAACACCCATCCACTGGCGTCTCCATGGTGCCAGAGAGACAGGGATGCCTTGAGAGCCGGGAACACACATCTATCTACCAGTGTCCAATAGCATTGTGGCTCAGTTCTGCACAGGTTGGAGCACATGTGGATTAACCTTTGCCTGTAAGACTGCAGGACTTTTTGTGTATTATAAAATTCCTGTAGCTGACTTTACAAGATACTTCCCTCTGCTACCAAAAAGGTGCTGCATGGTACACATTTACTATTCAAAACGTGTGTTAAGGTAAATTTTGGGAAACGAAGTATCTTAATATTTTATATAATAATTGGAAGCTGTGGAAAGCAGGAATGGGAAAAATCAACCCCGTGGTAATGTCATAAAGAATGACACTGAGAAATTAGTACATTAATAAAAAATTAGTACAAGTCAGTGGTATGGAATACTCACTGCACACATAAATCAAAGGGAACTGCCAGATAAAACACAGGATGCTCAGTTACATTTGAATTTCAGATAAACAAGGAATAAGTTTTTAGTGTAAATATATTCCAAATATTGCATAGGTCATACTTATGCTAAAAATTTATTTGTTGTAAAATTCAAATTTAACCTTATGTCCGCTATTTTTGTTTACTAAATCTGGCAGCTCTAATCATGATAGGAGCAAGGAGCTAGAAGTCATTAGCCTAGATGTTGCTGGAAGCTGGGGCCAATGAGGGGATCAGAAGGTTGCAAGAGTCGGGTGGTCAGCAGGAAGGCCGTCCTGGGAGCAGAAGGTTGTAAGGGTCGGGTGGGCAGCAGGAAGGCCGTCCTGGGAGCAGAAGGTTGTAAGGGTCGGGTGGGCAGCAGGAAGGCCGTCCTGGGAGCAGAAGGTTGTAAGGGTCGGGTGGGCAGCAGGAAGGCCGTTCTGGGAGCAGACTTAGAGGCACTAGCAGATGTGCAGCAAATCACCAATGCTTCTTTTTTTTTTTGTTGAGACAGAGTCTCGCTCTGGAGTTCCATGGTGTGATCTCGGTTCACTGCCACCTCCACCTGCTGGGTTCAAGTGATTCTCCTGCCTCAGCCTCCTGAGTAGCTGGGATTACAGGGGCTTCCCACCACACCCAGCTAATTTTTTGTATTTTTAGTAGAGACGGGGCTTCACCATCTTGGCCAGGAGGGTCTCGATCTCTTGACCTTGTGATCTGCCTGCCTCAGCCTCCCAAAGTGCTGGGATTACAGGCATGAGACATCACACCCAGTCTGTGCACTCCTGTGCCCAGCCAATGCTTCTTTTTCAAATAAATGATAACATAATTATTATTATTTAGCTTATTTAAATTTGACATATTTAAATAATAACACACTGATTTTATTTTTGTTGCTGTCGTAGTATAGTATACATAACATAAACATTGCCATTTTAACCATCTTTGAGTGTACAGCTCAGTGGCATTGAGTACACCCACACTGTTGTGTGCCCATCTCGACAGCCTTAGCTCACGCTGCCACCACGCCACCAAACACCTAGACTGAATGGCTTACGGACCCTAGAGATTCATTTCTCCCAGCTTTGGAGGGTGGGAAGTCCAAGATCAAGGCACTAGCAGATTGGGTGTCCAGAAGGGCCCTCTTTCAGGGCATATACGGTACCATCTTATTGACATACCTTACCTGGCAGAGAGGGTCAGAGAGCTTCTGAGAGCACTAGCCCTCTTCTTGAGGACTCTGCTCATGACTAATCACCTCCCGAAAGTCCCACCTCTGAATACTTTCACGCTGGGGGTTAGGATTTCAACATGTACGTTTTGGGGAAACACAGTCTATTGCAGCCACTGTCTATCTCCAGACCTTTTCTGTCTTCCCCAGTGTAACTCTGTGCCTGTTAAACTCTCCATTCTTCCCTCTCTGCATCTCCTGACAACCATTCGACTCTTTCCCTATTCATTTGATCACTTTAGCTACCAAATATATGTGAAATCACATAGTACTGTGACTGGATTATTTCACTTAACAGTGCTCTCAGGGTTCACCTGTGCCAGAATTTCCTTCCTTCTAAAGGCTGAATAATATTCCATCGTATGTATATAACACATTTGTGTATCCATTCATCAACATTTGGGTTGCTCTGCCTTTTGGCCACTGTGAATAAGTCTGCTATGAGCATGGGTGTACAAATATCTTTCCGAGTCCCTGCTTTCGCTTCTTTTGGGTATATACCTAGAAGTGAAATTGCTAGATCAACTTGTCATTCTGCATTTACTTTTTTTTAAGGAAATGCCATATTGTTTTTCAAAGAAATTTCACCAGATTACATTCCCACCGGCAATACGCAAGCATTCCAATTTCACCACTTCTCTGCCAACACTTGCTATTTCCTGTTTATCTGGAGAGAACCATCAATGGGTGTGAAGTGGTCTTTCATGGTGGTTTTGGTTTGTATTTCCCTAATAACTATTGGTGTTGAGCATCTTTTCATGTGCTCATTGGTCATTTTCATATCTTGGGAGAAATGTTTATTCAAGTCTTTTGCTAATTTTTGAATCTAGTTGTTTGTTTTTATGTTGTTGATTATAGGAATTCTTTTTTTTTTTTGAGATGGAGTTTCGCTCTTGTTACCCAGGCTGGAGTGCAATGGCGCTACCTCGGCTCACCGCAACCTCCGCCTTCTGGGTTCAAGCAATTCTCCTGCCTTAGCCTCCCGAGTAGCTCGGAGTACAGGCGCACGCCACCATGCCCAGCTGATTTTTGTATTTTTAGTAGAGACGGGGTTTCATCTTGTTGACCAGGATGGTCTCGATCTCTTGACCTTGTGATCCACCCACCTCAGCCTCCCAAAGTGCTGGGATTACAGGCGTGAGCCACCGCGCCTGGCAGGAATTCTTTTTACTTACTGGATATCAATTCCTTACCAGGTCCCTCCAGGACTGGGTCCTTCCTTTCAAGGCAGCAGTTTCCTTTTTGGCCCAGGGTGTGTCTAGAAGTGTCTGGAAGCTAGGGCCTAGAACGGGGACCTCCTGACTCGGCCGGTGCCCTTTCCTGCTGTGGCTGAGCATCTTGTATCCAAGACGCAAGACAAAGTCCTCTTTACTCTTCGCTCTCCTCTCTTTAAGCAGAAGGAAGGGGCCACTTTTGTTTCTATGAGCTGTGCTACCTGGGGTTGGGGGAAGGATGTGCAAGAGCTCCCTTAGCCATGCCAGCTGGTGTCTCCTTAGACCATGTGCCACGCTAGTATACTGGCTGTAAGCCCATCCTAGCACTAGGAATTGCCTAAGAATTGTGGTCTTTGTGTCCTAGACTGCCTTTCATGTTTACCTAGGATTCCAGAGCACTTCAGTCCACGGTGGTGAGGCTTGCCAAGAAACTCAGGTTCCAATCGCTAGGATGGGCAGTTTCTCTTTGGCTAGGGCTGGTCCAAGTGCTCCCTCTAGGTGGATGCTGGCTGAGCCCAGCATGGCTTTATTCTGTGCTATGACAAGGCAGCACTGAGTCCAGTGTAAAGTTCCCCAGTCGCTGGGCTCTCCCTTCCCCAAATGCACAGGTCTTCTCTCCTCATTGGTTGGCTGCTGGTGGGAGATGGGAGAGGGTGGCATCAGTGGTGTAAGACTGTCTCTCTTGCCTGCCTCAATGTCTCTTTTGTTGATAAGAAGTTAAAACCAGATACTGTGGCTACTCACTTGAATTTTGGTTTTAGTGATGGTGGTTTTCTGTGTGCACATCATTGTTAATACTTGATGTTCCAGCAGGACAGATGAACAGTGCAGGCTTCTATTCCACCATCTTGCTCCTTTGTCCCTGATTTTCTTTTAGTATTTTTTCGTAATGTACAATCAGTGTACACATATTTTACCTTCATGATTAAATATATTCCCAAGTATTTTATGGTTTTTGATGATGCCTTCAATGGAGTTGTTCCCTGATAGTGTATAAAAACAATGGATTTTTGTGCATTGATTTTATTTATCCTGCAAGCTTACTGAATTATTAGCTAGATAGTTTTTTTTTTTTTTTTCGGGGTGTGGGGATCTGTACTGCTTTCTGCATTTAAGAGCATGTTGTCTGTGTACAGAGATAACTTCTTCCTTTCCAACTTGGATGCTTTTATTTTTTTCTTGACTAATTGCTCTGGCTAGGATTTCCAGTACTATGTTGAAC